AAAAAAAAAAAAAAAAAACCAAAAATGGAAAGGTCTGGGTTTTTTTTTACCCCAGGCTGCTCTTAAACCAGGTATTTCATTTCAACGAAAGGATTCAGAATTATGAATTCCACCATTTCAAAGATGAATGCATTTGAGCCAAAAAAATCAAGCCTTGTGTTTCCCTTAGCTTTGCATTAAAAATTTTGGTCAACTATAGCTCGAGAGCATCATTTTTTTTTGGTCCCAATTCATTTCAAAAACGGAACCAAAAATATCTTAGATGTGAAATCACCAAGATATGAATTATTTTTGTCCATTTCACCCATTTTTTTCAATTAATGATCAAAAATGAAAAAATATAAATGAAGGAAATAAATGAACAACTGGGAAAAATTGCCAAAAATAATTATCATAAAGTGGTAGGTTTCTCTTCTTCTAGCTCAAATTTATCAACGTTTTTCAGCATGAAACCACGGGGAAAATCAAAATTCGGTTATTTCTCCTAATTAGGTTTTCTTCGATTCAGGACAATCCATTGTGTAATCGTTTAATTATTTTCAAAAAGTCAAGATATAACCTCAACATAAATCCAAAGCCCCTTGAAATTTTAAGCCCATAAATCAATTTAAAGATTTTTTAAAAATCATTTTATCATTAATAAATTATAGCTGAAAAATATTCAAATTATAAATCTGAAAATCAATGACATTATGAATCAAATGAAAATGAAAAAAATCATTAAATTTAATCGATCAAAATCTTGAGAAACCCAAATCATTTTATTTTTATTTATTCATTTCTTTCCATTTATTTCATTAATTGTAAAGAAAAATATGTAAATTAATTTTAAAACAAGAAATACATCCAAATATTTGCATTTCTTAAAAAATCAAATAGTATTTTTTTTTTAGAATTTCAATCTAGCAATATTTCTTATTCATAAATCCATCATAATTCCATCATTTCAAGAAATGCATATATATTTAAATAATATTATCTCAGAAGATTTAATATCCAAATAATTTCAAAACAAAAAATTCCACGATATAATAAATAAATATTTTACGCGTGTAACATTTATTTCTCTCCATTCAATCATTTAATTTTCTTATTCGTATGTGAATCGTATCAAGAAATCAATTGAATTCAATGAAGAAAGAATCCGAAGAAAATTATTGAAATTAAGATTTGGGAAATCGTATTATCCGATACATAATATATTTTGAAATTTTTCCTCATTTTAGAATTCAAATCTTATTAGAAAAATTCTTTAAATCCAGATATCCTTTATACCATCATTTATCTTTGTCTTTCTCTCCGAAATATTTCTTTTCCGAATTATTTCTTTTTTTGTAGACTCTAGACCCTCTTTTTTGCTTTTTCTAAGACCCGCGCCACTTAAAGAGCTCTGCGGAGCCGCGTGACCCGCGCTATGTACGGAACAATGAATCGCGCCCTCAAATCTATTGAAATTCTTAAGCCTCCAATCATGAATCAATCAAAATCTCAGCTCTTCAATATCACGAGAAGCTCGCAACATATCAGAATATATCTATCAATTTATCTTTCTGAGCATCCATTTTCTATTAAATCTATCAATTTCTCAATCTATTACTCCAAAATTCTTTGAATCTATCTTTCTATCTATTTATCAATCTTCCGATTTATATAGCAGCCTATGAAATTTTAAAATCTCATCAATCAGAGACGTTGCCGTCATATATCGACCTCTATCTTTCAATTTATGAATATATCAAATCATCATTTACTTTATCTATCGCTGACTTAGTAGGACTCGTATTTTATTATATTTTCTCAATCTACCAGCTAGAGAAACGTCAGTTTAGCAATTTTCATAATCAATCCTTTTCCGAGAATAACTTCATCTGCCATCTACCATGATTTTTAATTCAGAAAAACTTGTTCCAGAATTTTTTCTAATCACGTATACTATGCTTTTATTCCGTATAAATCCATACGGATCCCTAATATATATTCTATTTCATACGATAGAATTAGAAGCCGATTCTTCGCTGCGCAACAAAATCTAAACAAATAAAAAAAAAAATCCTAATATAATTTCTTTTATTCAATTTTCGATTTCAAGAACCTTCTATATAGATATTAGTTAGGACATTTAAGTCTATGCAATTAGGACCCACGAATTCCCTAAAATATTTAATAATTTAGAAATTAATATTTATATTTTTTTCATTATAAGAGTCTTTGCTATTATTAATAGATATATATGCCAATCGATATAGATCCGATGAGTTCTAGATATTCTCATTAATATTCTAAGATATTTTATAGAAGATCACGCGACGCCCTTCGATTGCATCGACGGAATAATAGATATAATAAGTAAATAAAATATAGCGATAAATAAATCTAAAGAAATATATATTTGCGCGGAGTACAACACAAATTTGGTCGGTATACGTGAATACGCGTGCATTCGCGTCCCCTTGCCCCAGAAGCAATACCGCGAAGGGAAGAGACCGATGCAAGAAGGCAGCTCGCAAAAACACAAGAAGAAATCAATCCTCTTAGCCACTTGGGGGAATCAACATAGACAGACCATCGGAAAGGGGTAGATGCAAACGAACAAGCAACAAATAGAATAAGACGGGGATAGAGAATGAGATAAGCAGTGCAAAAGAGATAGACAGACAGACGGAGACAGACAGAGACAAATAGACAGACGAAGACAGAGATAGATGCAGATCTAGCAATAAACAAAAAACATCAGGAATTTTTGGACCCGGCGATTCTCGAACAGGTTTTGTTGCAGGTTTCCTTCACATGTCGCGGAGTTTTCGAGAATGTCCGGTCTAGCCCTCCACAAGAAGCCTAATTGCTCGTAACGTCTGGAGTCATCTAGCTGAGGTAATCTTGTCCGAACATTTCCGGTTGAAAGTCTGTTCAGCCAAAAGCTTCGGGCACAAGCGGGATTTGAATTAATTCCCAACCAGAACTCCTCAAGCTTAACTTGGTGCGTATCAACCTCGTCCCACGGACCCTTTGATCTTCGTATTGGATGCAAAAAAAAAATCCACTCCTTGCTCATTGTGACGCTGACGACCTGCCACCCGACCCTCTGCGACGCAGTTGCCGCAAGCCAGGTACCTAAACTAAAGTAATGCGCAGCGCATGGAATGCAGTGTCGCGTCCATGGGAAGGTTTGTAAGGTTTGGTAAATTTCGATTTCAATATTATAGCGTCATTCTAATGGGAAGATGCAGCAACTCACCCCAGGGGTGGCATGTGCTTCGCGAATGCAGCCTGCGAACTTTTTGCGCTCATCCAGGTCAGAAGCGCCACCTGCAGGGTTTGAGGCTGCCAGAAGCAAGGTGGGGGTCGCATTTGATATTAAAAAAAGATGCTGGAACCTCAATGCTCTGTGAACTCGTGCCGAAACAACAGGTGAGTCGAATATCCAAATCCGATTGATTGTACGATCCTCGTGTGGTTGTTTGTTACCACCAAATTCGAATTGCTCGATGCTCCACTGTGAACATTGAGTTTTACTATGACTGACGCTTCGGCAACAACCTCCATGCTTCTTCCAAGCTTCCGAAGGTTGGTTCCTATTAGCATGCACACCAGCGCCACTTTTGGTGCTTGCGTGCCCTTGACTCTTCCACGCTCATTTACCATTGTATGAGAACGGCGTACCGAATACAATCACAAACTGTGAGCCTTGACACTTCCACGAACTTGTAGAAGGTCATCACCTTATAGATGCAACAAGCAGAGATGCTACCCAGAAATTTTTTTAGGTCCTGTGGTTGCAGGTGTAAGGTTGCGGCAAGCATCAGCGTGCCCATTCCAAACCTTGCAACAACAGCAGCACATGCCTTCTCAGCTTTTTACAGGAAGCTAGCTGCATGATACTGCAAAAGCCGTATCTTGAGGACCAACAGAGTCACGCACCATTGCATGGCATAGTTGAAGTGGGTATGCTCGTCAGCCCAGAACAGAAGGTAGTCCTGCAACAGCGCGCTGAACTGAAATTTGCAGTGAAAATCAATGTAAAGTGAACATATTGTCAAAAAAACATGTCTCATATTAGCAGTGGCAAGCGCTGAAAACCCATAACCATAACGTGAACAAGCTTCTGCTTAGGCACTTTTCATACCTTTTTCGAATTTATCAATGTAAGTAGTGGAGGCTTTGTATTCGTGCAAGAACGGAACCGAACGCCTCGAAGGCGCTCATGCCCATGTTTGGAGTTTGACTTCCATAGATGCTTGGACGGAACAGGCTGAGGTGATTAAGGCCTCGACTCAAACCTCTTATGCCCTAGGTCTGCAAGCCCCAAACTGTAAATCACAACTTGACCCACTTGAGCTATAAACCCTTAGACCCTAATGGTAAATCCCAAACCTTTAACCTCGCAAAACCAAATATGGCAAACGTCCTCTTTATGCTTCATCGTGTACGGCAGCTGCCGACGGAAGCCTGCTTTGAAGTCGTCCTTTGCATGGCTCCCACAATCACGTGAAGTTCTAGGTAGGATTCCAGGAACTGTGAAGGATTGCTTTGAAATGCATCGTGTTCTCGTGTAACAGGTACAAAGCTCGGGGTTTCAAAATGGGGAGCGGGGGGGGGTGGGGGGGCGACATCGGTGGGTCAGTTCATGTGGGAGGATCCAACCCAAAACGATCGATCCCATGCTGGAACGTGTGGTGCCCTATTCTGGGGCTCCTGCATTGGCCTCAACCAAACCCAGTTTGCCTGACAACCCAGATTCCAACTTGTCCCAGGTCAGGAGGCGCCGCATCCTTTGCAACATGTAAAACCGGACTCCTGCTATGGAGGAGACACCGGTAGCCAGACCCATCACGCAACTGCAGAATGTGACAGCAAACAAGACTTCGTGCGACGCAGGCTCTGCTCAAACAGCTGCTTTTGCAATTCTACGGTTTTTGTTCGACTTATGGTTGCTGTCCTGCTTGTCTGCTTGTTTAATACCTGTGGCACCTGGGTGGAACCACGCTGACATCTCCAGCCCCTCCAGGTGATGTGGAACTTGATGCTATGCGGACTCCGGTTGGGATGACTAAATGCATTCTTCAGAAATTCTTGCAGGGCAGCGGGCTGCTATTGGAATATTTGGGGTCGTCATTGACCGTCGATGTAGTAACCACACAGCGCCACACGCAGAATGTAGAGCGCACCTCTCCAAACTTCAGGCCATGTACCGACCAGGTGGAAATAGTGGTGCACTTGGCACAAGGGCGTGCCAAGGGGAGCTCCAACACCATTGACAAATGCCAGCATGTCCTGGTTTGGTACGCAGCGCATGCTTGGGGTTTCAAATCATCATAAGCCTTTTTTGCCTGAGTTTGAAAACTTAGCAGGGTCATTGGAAACTGACCAGATGCAAAATCTAGCTCTCCAGTGCCTAAAAACACACATGCTGCACGAATAAGCTGCTCAAGCTGAATATTTGTTGCAGACGTGTCCCGCTTATGGTTCAGAAGAACACCGTGCCAAAAAATAGAAAAACATAAGCGCACGGACCATCCCGTCCGGATGTCTCAGCTTGAGGCAGGGTTTGGCTGAGGCTCCATTGCAGGTGTCCCCCACTCCGGCAGGAGCTCGGGGCATTTCTTCAAATTAGGGGCCCAGCATATACCCCAAATACGCAGAAATCACTAGTCAAGCATCTTGGAAAAGGGCAGTCAGTTTGGTTGCTTTCCCGGAAAGCATCTTTTTGCTTGCTCGCAGGTCTCTGAGGCAGGCTTCCGCTCTGGCATCCTGGGCAAGAATGTTGCCTGGGCTTGCTGCGAAAACCCTAGCTGAGGATGGCTGACTGGGTGCGTACTTCTGCGAATAGGAGGAGCAGATCGCAGTAACTCCGCTGATAAGAGTGCATATGGCAGAACATTGCCGCGTTTAGGGAGGAATGGTAATTGCAAAGCCTTCAGAATACTGGTAGCCATGTAGTGCATACCCTTTGTGGAGATCTTGAATGACGTGAGACCCTTGGGTTGTGCTGACGATGCCGCTATGCTGTTATCCAGACGCCCGATTGTCAACAGGGGAAACAAAGGCCCCCATGAGCTAAGCACCTCCTAGATGTGCATCCCCAATCCTCAAATCTCTTAATCCTGCTTGGGCCCCATCTCCCAGATCTCATCTTTTGGGCGTCCAGATTGCTGTTGCATGCAACATGGGCACCCTCTGCAGGGCTCATCTGCGGCGGCTGCGGCTGCTCCGGTCGTAGGAGCGACGACGGCGGTCCTCTGGAAAATGGGTATGCAATAGAGACGACCGGTGGTACATTAGGAGCTTTGGCTGTAGAAGCTTGGGGGATTAGACGAGGGAGGTAACGGGAGTAGTTTGCTCCATCTGGCCTCCATTTGAAAGATGGCTGGGTCTCGATATGAAGGACTGGGCTTCTGCTTCTTGACACGGCTACATTCAATCCATAATTTGCTGCGCAGGATCATGCCAAACTTCACCCAAAAATGTCACAAAGTGCTGCCGAAAATGTCTTGGCTATGTTGCTCAGTGGCGGGGACGAATCCGCTGACATCTTACAGAAGGCCCCTTGTTGGGAATGCCCTACTCGGAAATGTTCTGCCAGTCTCACAGCACTGGCTGTTAGCCTCTTGGCTACTGAGCAGTGCCATACACCTGGAACCACTGTGGAACAGATGTTCAATCACACTGATCGTGCAACTACTTATTACGAGCAGTATACTTCATCTGGGCGTCTATCCACCAGTCTCAGCTGGAAACTAAGTTCTGGATCCTGACAATCTGCTCGAACACTAATCATATACCCCCTTATACACCTTCGCCGCGCTCCGTCCAACTCTCTGAAGCAATCTAACCCAGTCTACTAAATTTGCTAAGGTGTGACCCCAATATAACCCCAATATAACTGTAATGGGTACCTAAAAACAGCAACTGTTACCTCCACCAGAATCAGGGCCTACTTCTAAGTTCCTGTTCCCTGACCCATCGAAGGATCCATAAACTTGGTCCCTTGCCAACTGAAACTCAGCACAAAGCATGATCTACTGGTGCTTAAGCTGGAGTGGGGGAGTGAATGTAGGTACCGTTATAGGGGTATATATGGGGATTATATAGGGATCCATTCCCTCACTCTCCCTCAAGCACCAGTAAGTTGAAGGCAGACCCTGTCATCGTCTGCGCTTCTGCGGCGGCCCCTGGCAAAAGGACATGTAACCTTAAGAAGTGTTGGCATTTGCATGTCTCGAAGTTGAGATGCATCAATCAACATGGCTTTCTCCAAAATTCAGGACTACAAGCTAACATTCTAAACTCAGCAACGTGTTGCATTTGAACCTGGAAAACGGCACATTACGGTCTTTGTTGGCACCTGTCCCGATCATCATCTCGAGCATCGCGACTCCTATACAGGAATGAGGCGAGATGAGAAGTACACAAAAACACTGCATGGTCTTTGCGTCCTCTGTGCTTCAGTTTGATTTCAAAATGCACCCCTGAAAACGACCTCATCGTACTTCACAAAGCTGCCTTTTACAACCTCTGATTTTTGATGTGTGCAAAGTGCATGCTTGCCTTCTTGAGCTTCGACGCTCGCCATTCCGGTCTCGGTTACGGCCCCGGTCACGATCCTGTCGAAACATCAAATAAGGAACTCCGGGATGTTGAATATCGAGGCCTCTTTTCGGGGGGGGCCTACATTAGCGTTGACAGTCCGTGTCGTCATCATCGCGATGGCGGCGTGAGCGGCTACGCCCGCCATCATCACGATCGCGACGCCTCTCCTTGCCATCCTGCGAGGAAGGAAAAGTACTTGGGTAGTAGAGGCAAGTGGGGGTTGTGGGTTGGACAGAGCAGGAAACATCAATACGAGTAACGCAACGAGACAGCAGGTGCAACGACCTGCCAGGCAAGATGGCTTCCTAACATGCGAAGCTACATACATGAGCTGTAGTCTAAACTCCTAGTATCCCCCTTACTAACCCTTATCATAGTCCACTATATAAGCCCCTATATAACCCTCTTCAAGGAGTTAAGACTATAGCTCACATGCACGGTGCCTGAATTTCAAACTCCGTGAGGCCTTGTCTTCTTTGTCTGGATCTTTATCATCCGGCGGCGGCCTTGCCTTGATGATCTTTTCGTATTCAATCCTTACTTGGATCATGGGTACTTCTCAAAGTGGTTATATCAGGGCAATATAGACTAATTTCAATTCCCAATTTAAAGCTGTTTTTGATACTTACTATTCCCAATATAAACCACCATTTAAGGTGAGGTCGGGTGAGGTCGCTTCAAATTGCCCAGTTATATGTGGGATAACCGTAGTCACAACTAATTCTAGCCTAGTTTGAGGGCGCTTATTGCCGTGGGATTCATAGTTTAAGGTCCGGCAAGCGAGGGACCTGCTGCAGCACTGCTATAGCCTCTTCAGATCCATAGTCGAAAGTCATTTTCCGAGAAACCCTAAGGGATTTACTAGAATTTGAACTTAGACAAGTTTTCTAGGTAAGCGTCAGGGTAGGGCTTCTATCGGGATTCTGGGAGCATGTCGAGATCATGAAGGGATGAACTGTCCGTTTTGAGGATTAGGTGGGGGCCTTTTGTAGAAAGTGCCATGTGACGGCAACTAAGCAGAATGGGCAGCAAGCAAGTAGACGGAACAATCCCTGATGACGAAGCATCAACAATTATTGTTGCTGGTTTCATGACTACTGGACTGCCATTGACAATGTGAAAGTTCCACACGACTCTACGATTTGACTGAAACTGATGCATCCAAGGCACTGCTTGTCGCGCAGCTTGACGTAGTTCTTGTGGTAGTCTGACTCCGGGTGGATGTCAGGCTTGTACTTTCCTCCCTCTGTTTCTCTAACGTTAATGTCCGCGAAGCGGAGCTTGTACTTGAGGCCACATATCTCGCACAGCCGGTCCTGCACCAAAAGCATGCTTAGCCACTCCAAGCAGCAAGTCCTTGCTTTCTTTAAGGTTTTACGGCTACGCTTGAAGCACTCATAAGACAGAAATTGACGCAGAGACTCTGTTGCCGTCTTGGGGAGAGTATTCTTTGTGCGGGACAAGAGGACAGGGGATGAGATCTGGACAAAAACGCCAATATAACCTCAATATATACCTTATCATAGTAATTTCCACTTTCTTTTCCATTATCCCTATATAACGGCAAGATAACCCCAATATAACCCGAAGATAACCTCAATATATCCCCTATATAAACCATCCTACCGCTCCTGGTCTGTCATGACCGCGATGCCTTCAGTATGCCTGGTGCAACTGTGCAGGCAAACAAATGGGCCACTGACTTTTAATATCTCCCCTAACAACCCCTATAGTAGTCCCCTATAAAACCCTTACATGATCCTCCTTTAAAGGAGTTTAGACTATGGCCCAAATCAGAATGCGACTTCACAGTTCGGGTCACAAGGTATTTCCGAATCGGCCTAAAGCATTGAGAACATGCCTCATGCTGCCCAA